ATTTTAGATATTAAAATATTTAGTAGATTTAAATAATATTATTTTTCTATTTAAACATTTAATTTCAAGATTTCTCATTGATAAGAATAATTATAAATAATCTCTTTACTAAGTAATTATTTTTGTAGAGTTCTCCAAATTTGGAGAATTTAACCTTTTCTCTACTACTTTCTCCATTTTGGAGAAGGATTTAGAGAATCCCCAAAATCTATATTTTTAAGAATCTCTTGGAGATGCTCTTGACTATTAATTATTTAGAATTAGTATTAATCATTATTTATTATTATTATTATTATTTAATACATTTAATTATCAAAATACAAATATAATAATTTTAAATATTTTAAAGTTAAATAAATATTAAAGTTATATTTCTTTTTGATAAATAATATAAATATGATAAATGATTTTAATAAATTTTTTAATTTAGGTATTAATTTTTTGGAGGAATTGTTGATCGATTAATATATGTAAGGTTGGATAACTTTGTTTTTATTTATATTATATATAAGTGTTATTTAAAATAATTATTGAATGTAGATTTTTTTTAAATTCATATTTAGTTATTAGTGATATATTTTCATTTTACATATATCATAGAATATATATTAAAATTAACTAATTTTTTAATATGTTATTTTTTATCATTTCATATTTTTTAACTAGCTTATTCTTTAGTGTTTGCTAACATGATTAGATAATCAGGGTTTGCTAAACATTCAAAAAAAATTAATTATTTGACTATTACAACTTTAAGCCATAGTATACTAACTATTGGAAATTGCCTTTTTTTAATAAAAAAAACTGTTGAAGTTTTCCATTTTATAAAAATGTTTGTTGGAAATTACAATTTTATATAATTTTAATTGTTTGAAATTTTTTGGTTGTAAAATGTATTGAATATTTAAAAATACAATTAGTATTGTAATTCTCAAATGGAGGTAACCGTTGTGTTGAACGTAATTCTTTATTTAAAAGTTTTTGACTTTGTTTAAAGAATTGAGGCGACAGAGATATTTATGGAAATACTCGAAGCATTTATTACTTTCTTTACATAAGGAAACACAATCAAACAAGACCGGTATATATGGAAGTAAATTTACTTTAAAATAAAAATAAAATCCATAAAGCATAACAAACTTGGTATTTTTAATGCACCCAACACCTGCGCAACCAATGCAAGAGCTCTTTAAATATCTATTGGTTTCTCCTAGAGCAAACCAGAAAAGAAATTAATCCAAGAGATTTACATTTGTTACCCTGCTCCAAAAAATGTCCTCTCAACAACCAAACATGACGCCAAAGAAAACCAAAGGTCGTCAAAAAATTGAGATCGTGAAAATTACAGATGATAAAAGTTTAGCAGTTACCTTTTCAAAACGCCGTTCTGGTATTTTCAGAAAGTTTAGCGAGCTTGGCACCCTTTGTGGGGCTGAGACTGCAATCGTCATATTCTCCCCAACTGGAAAGCCATACTCATTTGGCCATCCAGATGTTGAGACGATTGTAGACCGCTACCTAGTGAGTTCTCATTTTGAGGAATCTCATCCTAATGCCAACACCGAAGCACTCACAAGGCAGCTGGCTGACATGCTTGGTCATCTGGAGGTTCAAAAAAAGGTTGGCAAAGAGCTTGACGAGATTAAGAAAGCAAGGGAAAGAAGTTATTGGTGGGGAGCTCCGACAGAGACTCTGGGATTTGAAGAACTTGAGAAATTAAAGGTGGCATTGTTGGAATTGAAGAAGGATAGTGGAAAGCAAGCCGAGAGGCTTATGCTGGAGGCTGCTAACCCTACACCAACAATTCCTGTAGATGGTGCTGGTCCATCAACAACAACATTTCCTGTCTTTGGTTCTATTGGGGTAGATGGTGCTGGTCCGTCGACACCAACAATTCCTGTCTTCGGTTCTATTGGGGTAGATGGTCCTGGTCCGTCGACACCAACAATTCCTTTCTTTGGTTCTACTGGGGTAGATGGTGTTGGTCCGTCGAACTAATGTGTCATGGGATTATGTTGGGACATATATAGTTTTGATTTTAATCTAGTTAAAGCTATGTTTTAATGTGTCTTTTTTTTTCCTTTATCAAATAAATATCGATCAATGTTGTTGGGGTTATTGGTTAGACCTCGCAACTTTTTCTGTTACTTGTAAGCATAACCGATATATATGAAATGTCCTTTCATTACCTTGATTGAAACAAATGGTAATTTTGATACAGTTAACCAAATTGTCATGATTTACTTATACTTGAAATAAGATACACATAATTGTGGCTTGGCACAATCTGGTCAGATCTGCGGATTCTAGATTGCCAATATCCAGTTGTAGGAATTTAAGACATGTTTGTGTGAAGTCCTAATTAGAAATCGTGTATTTTGGGTTAAAGAAATGCTTTGTTTCATGTATCCATGAAAATCCGTTGTTAATATTGGTGAAAATTAAGTCAAAGGATCTAGTGCAACTTAACCCTTGTCATAGTTTTCTATAACGCCAAGAGTCTCAAATGAACAATCATTTTCCTCTTCTGTTACATATATTTTTGTCCCATGATTTTTGTTATGTAATATTTTCCTCCTATTTGTTTATAGCAAAATGCTCACTACTGCTTTGAACATGTTTTCAGTGATATTAAGACAATCTATGTATGCTAGAGTGGTAGTTCATGAACCTTATATATGCCATTGACAAGGTTTCAACAAGGTACTTGTTCAATAATATTGCTTTGAAAGAAAAATTTGGGAAGAAATGAAGTTTTGATTTTATCTTGATATCATTGATTGATAATTTCCTTATAATTGAGTACTTCATAAAAAGATGAAATCCGATTATGAGGTATTCTATGCATATGGTGTGTTCGGTATGCATGACATGATAGAATAGGATCAAACATAATTTGTGGTCCCATGTTTGGCGCAACATTAGACTGATACAGTGACGACGCAAGACATTATTGAGTGGGAGAAAATAGGTGGAACAAATATCAAGAAGATAAGACGAGATAGGTACATTATTAAGCAATTCATGTCAAGTTAAAACTTATATTACTTTCCACAATTCTTTCATCCACCTACCTTACTTTCGCCTGTCTACTCCCATCCTGATGCTGTATTCAGTTCCACCCACATGCCAAAAGCACTCATAATGTTAAAAATGAAATGGTCATAACTCATTTCATACTCGATCATGAATCTTGTAATTGATGAATTTATTCAACTCATTTTCACTTACAAATTTTTCCAAAAGAATTTCTAGGGAATAACATACTATTAATAGATACAAGATGGAAATGCCCTATTTTCTCAGGAAAAAAAAGTAAAGCATGACCAATATGGAAGTGAATCACATAGAAGTTAAGGCTAAAGTAAACAAGAAAAGGAAGTACAGTTCGTGTCGAAGAAGAAAAATGAAAAAAAAATTGAAGAGAAAGAAAGGAAATACAACGCACGATCCAAGTAAACTATAGATACCAAAGACAACAAAAATTTGGTGCAAAAATTTCAGAATGTTTGAAACAGATCATTAATAGGCTCCCATGTTTCGTATTCCAACAAAAAGAGACGTCACAAAAAATGTGGGTCTTCGGTGTCTATGAAAGAAATTCCCATTTCGGTAGACATGTCTATTTCCCATATGTTCCACCCTTTCCTTTTTCTTATCATTCTATGTGTATTAATAGGTCTACAGGAATGAAACCATGCATGGAATTAACAGTTAAGTAAAGAGATTTTGCTTCTAGTTTCTGGAAAGAAGGATGCACTCTAGGTGCCTCCTAATTGACATCAAAATTATTAGTGTCTGTCAGCTCAATGCAATGGATGAGGCAACATGGTCGTCTATATCCTCTATATATAAGATTGAAATTTGCATTAGTTCTATTTGAAGTATGGAGCTGGTCACTAAGCATATTAATACAACAAAATGGACACTGAGTGTTTGTCCCTTAACCAAGCAAGGAGTACTATAAAAGCTTGTGGGGGTAATATAGTAATAAGGGATATCCGATCTTGCTAACATCGTGAATGAAGAGCAGGGAGAAGGCTATATGGAGGTGAAGATCTAGTTTTGCATTTGTACAACAAGAAAAACTATTTATATCCTTAGGTGTTTATAATTTCAGTCTCTCTACTTTAATACAACAAAATATTAACCCAACAAAACTCTTCTTTTATTTACAGCGTTCATACACCATTTCATGAGACTTCATCATTTGATCAGCTGGAGAAAGTGATTGCAAATCCTTTGACACTAAATATTTAGAGGGTTTTAGAACTATTAAGAGACAAGCGAGAACATGTTAAAAGGAATCCCTTTTAATACCTTCAAATATTTATTTGTAATATTTCCAATGTTTAGGAAGTGTATTTAATTAATTTGTATGCCTTATTTCACTAGAAAACAAGAGTGCATCACCGAAGGGCACAACTGTCGTAGACCATTGAGAGGTCATAACCCACGGTTTTTAGATGGGAAAACCCTGTGGGTAAAAACCAACGGCTATAAAAACCTTATAGATGGATATAACCGTATCGTCGATAAACCATCATTAAATAATATACCATATTTGTTAAATAAGTTAGAAAACAATTGAACTGCGACAATTCCTTGAAGGTGAACGAACATCGATAACATGACGGAATTTGAAGATGAGTGTTCTTGTTTGTAAACCACCGTAAATATAAGGGGTAAAAAATTAAACCATCTATTTTCGATAAATAACCAAACATTATTTGACATGTTAAATTATCGAAGGTTATTCGGTGGTTCTCCGACGATATTTGGGCCGCAACTTCATGTCAAGGGGAAAAGTCACGTAAAATCATATTTGATTTTGTACGTGATGTTAGTGTACAATCACAGGTAGGAGGAGAATGTAGGTGCAACGGAGGTTGTGAAGAGTGCATTAAAATTCAAATTTCAATGGTAGAGATAAATGTCTTAACCAAACAGGATGACCTTATTCTAGAACTAATCAACCGGTTACAAGATCCGAAGATCAGAAAGCAGAAAATGACATATTATCTAGAAACAAGACTAAAAGAGAAGGTTTAAAACCAAGTTAAAACATGCCATTTATAATCATATTCAAACCGAGTTAAAACATGTCATTTATAATCATATTATCTTTTGCGAGTTCCAAACCCAGTTTTAGCTTTTTTACCATATTCAAACCGAGTTAAAACATGCCATTTATAATCATGATGATCTTAAGTAGGCATGGCAACGGGGCGGGGATGGGGCGTTTTTTGTAATCCCCGGCCCCGGCCCCGGTCCCCGGCGGGTACGGGGATTATCATCTCGTCCCCGGTCAAATTCTAACAATCCCTGGTCAAAACCCGGTCAATCCCCGGTCAAAACCCGGTAAAAAATATGCTTTAGTTTGATTATACCAGGGATCCCCAGCCCCGACTCCGGCCCCGTTTTGAGTAACATTCCCCGTCCCCGGTTTGAGTCTACCGGGGATCCCCGGCCCAGGGACTTGTTTTAGCGGGGAATCCCCGTCCCCGTTCGGGTCGGGTGAACCGGGTTCCCCACCGGGTCGGGGCAAATCATCATCCCTAATCTTAAGAGGTTTAAAATCAAATCTACATCAAGAACCACAAATAAATCAAAAACCTTGAATTAAATTAAATAACATCAAAAACAACCACATCAATCAATTCAATCAAATTGAAACAAAAACCTTTATAACAAGTTTTGTTCAAATAATCAAATCCCTAAATCAAATTTAAAAAAAAACCCTTAAACCAAATTTAAACAAAAAAACTCTCAAAGCCTAGATCTTAGAATTTGTAATATAAATGACCATTTTACCTTTAATGTTTGTTTTTGTTTTTTTTCTCTTCTTTTTTATGTAGACATTATTCTCATTTAAATCTTCCTTTATTTACATATTCTTAAGCTTTTTTAATTATAGTAGAGAATTATATATATACTATAAGGATATTCGTGCAATGTAATGTGATACATCTTGATTTTAATATTTTATTTTATTTTTATCTCAGTCGATGTTAAAATATGGTCTTATGTGATTTTAAGAAAGCGATGATGTTTTTATTTTTGAATAAAAATATAAGTTTAAATATATCATAAAAATTTAACAAAAATATATCGATATTAGCATCAAATTAACTATTTAAAATTCCTTATTTTTTGGTGTAATTTTTTAATTCAATTTTTTTATAATTTAATTTAGGTACAATAACGAAGTAATTTATATTTGGTTTAACAATATAATTTTCTTATAAAGATAATAATTATTTATTTTGTTGGAACTCGATAATTATTCTAATTATGTTTCAGATTTTTTATATTTTAGAATGATATATTTATCCTCTATTTGATTATGTTTATCCGTAGTTAGTTATACGAATTCAAACATTAAGATTTAATAAGTTGTATTTATGCATAATTTACTTGTAATCTTGAATTATAAGTAATATGCATCAATATACAGTACTTTATGCATAAAAAATATATCGATATTCGTATCAAATTAACTATTTAAAATTCCTCATTTTTTGTGTAATTTTTTAATTCAATTTTTTATTATAATTTAATTTAGGTACAATAACGAAGTAATTTATATAATATAATTTTTTATAAATATAATAATTAATTATTTTGGTAGAATTCGATAATTATCCTAATTATATTTTAGATTTTTTATATTTTAAAATAAGATGTTTATCCTCTATTTAATTATTTTTGTCTGTAATTAGTCATACGAATTCAAACATCGAGCTTTAAATAAGTTGTACTTTTGCATAATTTACTTGTAATCTTGAATTTTAAGTAAACATTGGTTTTATGTGGTTTTGAGAAAGTGATAATATTTTTATTTTTGAATAAAATATAAATTTTAAAATATCATAAAATTTTGAAAAAAAATATCGATATCAATATTAAATTAATCTTTTTAAAAGTTCTTATATTTTGGTGTAATTTTCTTAATTAATTTTTTTAATTATAATTTAATTTAGGTTTAATAATATAAT